ATTATTACTATTATAATTAAATATTTCAACTACATTCGGTTTTAGAAATTACTAATTGGTGTTTTCATTTATTTGACATATATATTAACAGCACCGTGATAGAAATTTATATTAATGATCAAAGTTTAACGGTTTTAATAGCCGAAACAAATTTTTCTCTTGAACGCCTTCCAGAACTTGGGGACAACATATATGAAGCTATCGAATCAATTCATGATTTAAAGTTATATTGTGTATCAATATGCCAATTAGGAACGTTGCCAAGATTTTGGAGAAATGGCAAAAAATTATTAAATCCCATGTTATGTAAGAAAGCATTTGAGTTTGGAAAATTAAGTGTTATGCATGTTAAAATGAATGTTGTGGATACTATCATTGATCTTCCAGTTGGAGAGGATACTATTACCGGTGTTTGGGGACCAAGTAAGAGCAAGATATATTTTAAGAAACGACAAGAAAATTATCTTTTGTTAATATTCAATGTGTTACGTATACATTTTTTTGTGTAATTAGGTTCTTCCACGGCTAGGCAAGAACTCACTAAAGAATTATCAGTAATACGTCGCCCACAAGTAACGAGAGTAGAGATTCCTCAAGAAGTTATAGACGAACGTTCCGGGTCTAACATGTTAAAGTTTCGTAGTATAGTCGATGTCTTATTATGGAGATGTCATGCGCTGCCAGATGAAGATGCTTACAAATTAATAGATCGTACTGGAAAAGAAACAAAAGTTCTTACTTGGAAAAAATTATCAAATAAAATTGCCACAATAGCAAATTATTTACAGAAAAAAGGATGTAAAGCGGGTGATCATGCAATATTGACATTTCAACACGGAATAGATTTCGTTGCTAGCGTTTATGCATGTATGATACTTGGAATTGTGGCAATACCTATGGATAAAATAGAAAATGAAAGAATTAGCGAAGATGTTCCTTCATTATTAGGAATAATCGATGACTTTAAAGTTTCGTGTCTTTTGGTTAATGTAGATTCAGAATCAATATTTAAAGGAAGAACAATGCAAAATATTCTTAAAGGAAATAATCAAAGCAAATCTTCAGGAGGACCACCTGGAGGTAGTACAGGATCAATTAGTAGTTTACCACCATTAATTAATGTATCAAAAGCACCAGCATTTAAAAAAACATTGAAAGAAGCTAATTATTCAATGCAAGAGGAATGGCTAAATCCAAAATGGGCGGCAATAGTGATGTGTTATTTCAGTGCAGATCAACGAAGATATTGTGTGAAATTAGGACATGATAATTTGTTATCATTGTGCAAAGTACAAAAAGAAACATGTCGATTAACTAGTAATAGAGCCATATTAAGTAGTGTTAGGAGTTTTATGGGAATTGGTTTTATTCATACATTTTTGCTGGGAACATATCTCGGTATGATTTATTATCTGTTTATTTTTTATCTTACACTGTTCTAAAGCAAATTTATTCTTTATTTTAGGAACACTAACGATAATGGTAACTCCATACGATTATTCAACAAATCCATTAATATGGTTTGAAACTTTATCTCAATATAAAAGTAAGAATTTGTGTTCATTCTTGTATACTATTTTAATTAAATAAGTTGTATATTTTATTAATTAATAATACCTTTGTACTGCAACCACCTAAATAGTTAAAGATACATATGCCACATTTCCAATGTTACAACATGCGTTGACAGCATTTGAGAATATTGATTATAGAAGTTTTTCACTTAATCATTTAAAAAATCTTATGATACCTGTTGAAACTAGGCCAAATGCTAATTTATGTAAGTTATGTTATATCAGGAATATAGGGACGTTGAGATTATTGATAATATATTACACGCTTCTAATTTTTTTTACTTTTTTAAAAAAAAATTTTTTTTATCACAAAACTTATTAAAAAAAAGATAAAAAAATAGTTAAAATGTTTTCAGAAAATCGGTTGGATAGCATAGCTATAAACTATGTATACAGTCATATAGCAAATCCGATGATAACTACAAGATCATATATGTGCGTTGAACCTGTTGAATTATATTTGGACTTAAAAAGCTTAAGACGAGGAATTGTTAAAATCGTTAATCCCGATGAACCTTTCGGAATATTGTTACACGACAGTGGAATGGTATGTGTTTTACTTTTATGTAGTTAGCTTGATGTCATTCATTGAAATTTTCGAATATTTGATAAATGTCAGGTTCCAGTATCAACCCAAGTAGCGATAGTTCATCCAGAAACACGGCGTCCATGCCATACCAATGAACTTGGAGAAATTTGGGTATCATCAGATGCCAATGCAAAATCATCTTATGGTTCGAATGATCCTTTAGAACGAGCAAAATTTTCTGCGACTATTGAAGGTGGAGTTGATAAAAGACTATATTTAAGAACGGGAGATTTGGGATTTTTGCACACAGTCCGTAGACCTGCTAGAGATAATGGACCACCAGTAGAATTTCAATGCCTGTTCTTTTTAGGACCTATCGCAGAAACTTTTGAAGTTAATGGACTAATGCATTTCCCCGTTGACATCGAGGATACTGTTGAGCGGTGTCATAGTTTGAGTTACCCTAGTTTGATTCCACCAAATGGATGGTATGTTATAATATATATTTAGGAATTATATTATATTTAGTATATATTAAATTCTAGTTTTAACATTACTTTTAACATTTTACAAGCGTGGTATTCCAAGCTAATGATGAAACAGTTTGTACAATTGAAGTTCGATCCGTTGAAGGAATTTTAAACTTAGTTCCTTGCACAATAAGTTCTATATTAGATGAGCATCAATTTGTTATAGATGTAATAGTATTCATCAGCAATGGTACTTTACCGAAATCACGGTTAGGAGAAAAGCAACGAGCAAAAGTTATGGATAGTTGGTTACGCGGAACACTGTACGTATTATTATTATTCACATTTGCCATAACTATTTTTAATACATTAAATAACAATATTATTATATTTAGACAAGCACTCCATGTTCACTATGTAAAGCCGCTAAAGGCTCGGCCCAAAGTCATTCCCCAGTTTACACAGTCAAAAGTAAATTCAAGAATATCTTAATGACATAATTTATTACTTGATTATCATCAATCATATCAAAACTTGGTAATAATATTAGACTATACTTGTTATTATAGTTGTTTATTGATTAATTGTATTTTATGATTTTTATTTACTATTCGTATTTCTTATGTGATTATACTATATATAAATAAATTGAATTATTGCCTCTTAATACGATATATTCACACGAATATTCAGACATTTAATTTCTTCA